TTGTAGTACCCATTGTTATTTGTATTACCATGGTGCTTCAGGGTCCCAGTTATGGCTCATGCCCCTCTGTTCTAGGCTCTGTAGAAGTACGTAACAAGGAGATAGTGCCTGGCCTGAAGAGCTGCAGTGCAAATGAAAGACCCAAGAAAATGCAGCAAACTGGTTGTAGGGAGCATAAGAAATGAGACAACACTGAAGAGACAGGAATTACAGAAGCAAATTCCAAATCAAAAGTAATTCAACTCACTCAATAGAGTTCACACAAGTATAAATTATACCAGAATCTGGCCTATAAAATGTTGATCCCTCAAAAGCAGAATAGCGAATTAAAAAAAAAAATCTCGAGAGCTTTTCCAGTGTTTGAGTGTATATCATGTCTTTTTAAAACTCCACCCCATGCAGCCCAGGAAACCAGCTGTAACTCGCACATCTGTACGCCATGTAGGATCATGCATTCTCAGAGGGGCTGTGCTGAGAAGTAGCCTGTGATAAGGAGGACTGAGGAAAATGTCAAGCACAAAAATGTTCACCCAGATTCTACACTGTGCTATGAAGCTTTGGGAACTGTATTCTGGCCCTAAAAAACTGTCATAATCAGCCACAGGGAGATCACCCCAGTTTAGTGGGGCCTTCAGAATACAGAGACTTGAGGTAGCAGCTCATGTGCTGCTGGCATGAGGGGTTTGAAGAGGGCTTCTTCAAATCTGGCTGATCCATGGCTTCTGTGTCAGACTCTCGGGGCAATGGACAGACAGCACAGCACCCAAGAAGCCTGTTCTAAGCAGCACCAGAGACAGCCCGGTATGGGGGAAGCACATTACATCCCCATCTCCAGCCTGAATAGAACTCTACACTCTTTGGCCACAGCTGCGTTGCTGATCCTGTGAATCAGCTGAAGAACTACAAAGAGCTCAGCTCATACCAAAGAAATCTTACTGACCATGCCCTCTAGGCTGTGGGATGAACACAGAGCAGGACTTCAACTGGGCCACCGTGCTCATGAGGAAATTAGAGATTGTCACTGCAGCAGTAACATTTTACCTCTTCCTGTACTGTTCTTACAAGGTTGTTTAAGAAGTGTGAATCACCAATTAAAAACTTTTACCCTTTAATTGTTCATAGATAATTGGTTCTCTAAACTACAGATACATGTGGGTTGCCTAATTCATCAGCTTTTCAAATCAATATAATTTCAACCTAGTGAACTCAGAAGGTCAAAGCAATTGAGGTTTTAAAGCGGGGGCTAATATTACTTGGGCAGAAACATTTTGTACTAAAGGTTGACGTACTGAATGCAAGACAAATATCAGTTTCTTAATTCTGGTCACTAGTGCTCGTTTGGCAACAACTCTCAGAAGCAAAGGGCCTGGTTTTCTTCTAATCTATATCAGTGTAACTCCTCTGAAGCTGTTAGCATTCCACTGAGATAAATCGGTGTGATCTACATAGGATCTAAGGGCATGTCTACCCTAGGAAATTATGTCAAAATAACTAAATTTGAAATAATAACTCCCAAAATAACAAAATCGAAATAGTTTGTCGCCATTAGGGGGAGCCTCGAAATTATTCTGAGGCAGGCTCCATTATTGTGAACGTGCTACTTCAACTTAGTGCCCCAAGAAGCACTGGGGAGTAATTACTTCGAATTACTCTGGAGAGGAGTTATTTCAAAATAGCAGCAGCAGAGCGTCCACACTAAGGCTATGTCTAGTCTACATCCCTCTCTAGACAGAGGAATGAAAATGAGGCACTTCAAAAGTGCCCAATTCTCTTGTCACCAGCCTCCACCCTCCACTTCTACCAGTAAAAAACCATTAATTACAACACAGTTATTCCTGTTTTATGTTACTATTAGCAAGGGCAGAATGAAGCTCATTTTCTTGTGACCTTTCCTCCTCTCCCCCCTCCGCCCCCCATCCACCGCTGGCTCAGCAACAGGTAATTAACAAACCCTGATAGACCCAGCTGTGTAGATATTTACAGAGCAAAACAATAAAGTTAAACTACAACAGCCATGTTTATTTCAAAACACCAAAAATACTGTATGGGCAAAATATTTTCAGGATCCTAACCTGGTATCACAGGCACGAGCATAATACAAAAAATGTGCTTGACCATATCTTTTTGAAAGGGTAGTTGAAAAGGCTTAGAGAACACAAATGAGCCTTAAGGCATCTTTATACTTCTGATAGTTAATTCTTAAAGTATAACATTATTGGTAATCACATTTTCTTATGACAAGAATTAGTTGTCCAAGCAATCATGTTGATCCAGAAAAGAAAAGAAAATGGGCTCCATAATGGGTCCAGAACACTGTGACAGAAGAAAGCGCCATTAAGATTGAATGTCTTCTCTTTTCAGGCTGATTATTCAGCATATTTATTTCACTGTTCAGTCACATGATACTAAAACAGAGCCTTAGTTTACCTTTTCTCATGAACTATAATTTTTTAACAATACTGAAATATTGCTTTGTACTGGCCATTCTAGGAAACAAATGTCTGCAAAGTATAGATGATTCCTCTTTATATAAATCATAGTATCATTGGGTACGTCTAAACTACATGGCTCCGTCGATGGAGCCATGTAGATTTGTTTTTTTGGCAAAGGGAAATGAAGCCGCGATTTAAATAATCGCGGCTTCATTTACATTTACATGGCTGCCGCGCTGAGCCGACAAACAGCTGATCAGCTGTTTGTTGGCTCA